GAAAAATCTGCAACAATCCTTCAATTGCAATTCACGTGGATCATTTGTATCTAAGAGGTCTGCTTTTTGCTCAATAAGTACCGGGTTTGATTCCATTTAATGGCAACCATTAGTCTCATTCACGAATTTAGCAAAGAATTTACCACACATTCCCTCAATTCTTGGTTGCTCAATCGGTGGAGCCTCAAACTCAGAACCTATCAGTTCAGAGTTCAAACATCGGTCATGGTCATTCAGCCTTCTTCCTTCCGAGGTTGACAAACGAGCACCACTCTGTGGACTGAAATCAGATGACTAAAGCTAGGTTTGACATAAGGTTGTAGATTTGGCTCTTACTTTAAGGCATTCCTGGCTGATGAAGCAAAAATAAAAATCAGTATCGTACCGCCAACTTCATGAAGAAATAGCGTCAAAAGGGACAATCATGAAAGTGAAGGACTATCGAGATTCCAACAGTGACGTACTTTCCAATCCTTCCTTGGATCACTTTAGTCCGGCAGGTAATCGACAAGGAATCGCGCCAGCTGCAATACTACTGTTGTTACAGTGTTTGAAGCTAAGCAACCGCTGGATAGATTGACCGTAGTACTTTAGAGAATTTTGTACAAACGGTCTCCAAATTCTACTCCGGTTTTACCTCAGTTTCCTCCTCTTGCCTTTCATAGAACAGCATTAGACACATTACAGAGGTTAGATTTCTTATTTAAAAACAGGTACTACTTGTAATATCAGGTGCATCGCTTTTCAAGGCAGCGTTTTCTGAAGTCTTACTAAGCATTCTTCGAACACAGTCATCGGTTTGCAGCTGTTGGCTTGTATCATTTCCTATCAACTTTAGTATAGCAAATGTACGTTTAACTGTCACGGAATCATTTCTCAGTACGTCATCGAATTGTCAGCAGTTACTCAGCACATGACTTAATTTTCATGCAATTAACATACGAGGTTTAACCATACCATCTGTCTGCACATCCCCTACACCGATACACTAATCACCTTGACTGCTCCTACTATTCTATCCATGTATAACACAAACAGGAAAGGAGACAGAACGCAGCCTAGGCGCGGACCAGTGCCAGCGCTAAAAGATTTCGACTTTACGACGCCATTTACTCTGACGCTGTACCTGCATTTTGCACGGATTTATTTGATGGCCCAACGATCCCATATGTTCGCCGGCATGCCAATAGACTGTTGCGCAGGATCCAGTCATAGGCTCTTTCCACGTCAACAAACACGTACACCGCAAGGGCGAACGCCACGCCCAAGCTCAACAATCTGGCTAATCTCTCGTCGAATGTGCTTCGGCAAGGCTAGAGCCACACTGCTTTTCTTGCATTTTGGAGTCAGTTGTTCCGCTGCATCTCATTTCTCGCTCCTTTGCGTAGACTTTATCCGAGAGGCTCAATGAAATAATGCCCCGATAATTGGAGCACTCCTTTACATTCTTAAACAGGAGTAAAACAACCCTCTTTCTTCAATCCGCTGGTGTCTTTTCCTGCAGTTTGACAGATGCGTAAGCCTTGTTCGAATATTACTTTGAGAATTTAATTGCGGATTACCTAAACTCCCGCAGCATTTCCACTTTACAGACTTCGTACAGTTTTATGATTTAATCAACAGAAGTACTAATGTCTGTTCGCAGCTGCTCTACACGCGAATCTTCCTGCGGGTAGTCGGAGTTAAGCAGTTCTACTTTGGTAAATTAAATAACCTAAAAGGGCGATCCTGAGCTGCAGTTTCCTAGCAGAGAACCCCATGT